ACCTTTGATTCGATACCGAACCCGTGATTTAACCAAAATTCTACCAAGCAGTAGTCGGACAATGAGAAGAATTGACCGTATCAAAGGAAGAACCGATGACATGTTGATCATTAAGGGGGTCAATGTATTCCCTTCACAAATAGAAGAATTAATCTTTCAGTTTTCTGATTTCGAACCTGTCTTCCAATTACAGGAGGTTAAAGAAGGAGCTTTAAATAACCTTCACATTTTTGTTGAGTTAAAAGAGCATGGTGATCCAAATAAAGCTAAAGATTTACGGCAAAAAATTAAAGGAATGATTGGTATTAATAGCCAAATTTTTATTAAAAATAAAGGTAGCTTACCACGATCTCAGGGTAAGGCTGTTCGCATTAAATAGTGGTTACTAATATTAATTGGTTTAATTGAATTTATATTACAATAATGAATTAAAAGTTTTACGTTATTATTTAATAGCGGACTCTAATTGCCCTTCAATTTTCTCCTCTTTTTTATTTTTTAAATTTGAATTTTTTCCAAGATAGACAAGCAATTCTTCCTTTGATAAAGGAATGGAAGAAACAAGGATATACCATTGGTTTCACTTCAGGAAGTTTTGACCTCATCCATTATGGGCATCTTTCTTATTTAATGCAAGCGAAGAAAGTTTGTGATCGGTTGGTGGTAGCGGTCAATAGTGATAGCTCCGTAAGAAAATACAAAGGTTTGAGAAGACCAATCATACAAGAACAAAATCGACTGGAAATTGTAGCCAGCTTGGGAATGGTTGATGCTGCTTTTTTATTCATTGAAGAAAAAAATCAAGAAAACATCTTGACTATTCAACCGAATTTCTATGTTAAGGGTGGAGATTACAAAGGTAGTCAACTGAGCTCTGCAAAATACCTTAAGCAGTGGGGAGGAGAGGTTGTTATTATTAATTTTGAAAAAGGTTGCTCCACAACTAAGATCATTGAAAAGATTCTTGCCAAGTATCATGATACTCTTCCAGTATCCTTGCCTTTACCTGACACTCCTAAAAAGCCAACTATTTTTCTTGACCGAGATGGAGTCATCAATAAGGAAATAGAATACTTGCACGATCCAAGAGATCTTATTCTTTATCCCGATGTTGTTGGTGCTTTAAAAAGGCTAAAGGACGAGAGTTTTAGTTTGGTGATTGTCACCAATCAAGCGGGAATTGGTTTAGGCTATTTTAGCAAAGAAGATTTTTTCAAAGTTAATAAGAAGATGCTGTCAATTTTCAGTAAAAATCAAATCATCATTGATAAGGTTTACTACTGTCCACATTCACTTGGTCAGAAGTGTCAATGCCGTAAACCCGAAACCTTATTGATAGAAAGGGGAATTGCTGATGTAAATGTTGACATTGAAAAAAGTTTTTTCATAGGAGACAAGACTTCCGATATTTTAGCTGGCAGTAAGATGGGACTCAAAACAATTTTGATGAAAACAGGTCATGGAGGAGGAGATCAAGAATATGAAGTGTCACCCGATCATGTAGCGGATGATCTCAATCAAGCAGTTAATTGGATATTGACAAATAAATAATATGGGAAGAGTAAAAAAGTTCCATCTGAAATTCAGCGATCATGAAAATTTAAAGGGTAATCGAAAAAAAGAATCCAATTACTATCGCCGGCTCATCGCTTCCAAAAAAATAACCTACATTCATAGTTTAATTGAAAACATTGATCAACTTAGCATTGTAAGTTCCTTTGTCCATCCCGAAATTAAGTCCGGTTTAATTGATCGTTTTCTGGTGCTTGCTCACCACTTTAGTAAGGACGTCTTTATTGTTCTTACAAAAAGTGACTTGGTTGATAAAGAAGTGATTCAATATTATGAATCCATTTATAAAAATTACTATCGTGTTTTCGTAATTTCTAATAATGAAATTTCTAATAATGATAATGATGAAAAAAAAACCAAAGAAAAGAAAGGTGATTTTGAAAGAATAAAAAAAGTCTTTAAAAATTGCCATACAGCTATTATTGGACATTCGGGGGTAGGAAAAACTTCTCTGCTTAACAATATTGATGAGAATTTCAAAGGTAGATTTCAGGAAGTTTCAAGTTACACTCGTCGAGGTAGGCATACAACAACCCGAATAAAAAAACATGATTTTTATTTCGGAGGAGTGGTCTATGACATGCCGGGTCTTAAAGAAATTGATTACATTGACTTAGAAAAAAATGAATTAAAAAACTATTATCCCGAATTCAGAAATTTTGAAAATGGCTGTGCCTATAAAAACTGTCTCCACATTCACGAACCGAACTGTCAAGTAAAGCAGGCAGTTGAAAAAGAAGAGATTCATCCAATACGTTACCAAAATTATTTAAACATTTTGGGAGACCTTAGTCATTAGTATTTAGAATGGATGGTTGGAGAAAAAAAGTTTAGGAGTTAAAAGCCAAAATTTTTTCTTTGTTTTCTTTTTCTTTAAGTTTTTCGATTACCTCTTCAATATTGCCTTCCATGAAACTTTCAAGCCGGTAGAGGGTTAATTGAATTCGGTGATCACTGATTCGAGATTGGGGATAGTTGTAAGTTCTTATTTTTTCGGACCTTTCTCCAGTCCCAATTTGGCTCTTTCTCTGTTGGTCTTGGTTTTCTTTAAATTGTTTTTGTTGCTGTTCATATAATCTTGCTCTTAGAATCACCATGGCTTTATTTCTGTTTTTTGATTGTGATCTTTCGTCTTGGCAGGTTGCGACGACTTTGGTTGGAAGGTGAGTGATGCGAATGGCAGAGTCTGTCGTGTTAACATGTTGCCCTCCAGCGCCACTCGCACGATAGGTATCGATTTTTAAATCCTTTTCTAATATTTCAATATCTTTTTCCTCAGCTTCCGGAAGAACAGCTACGGTAACGGTAGAGGTGTGAATTCTTCCATTGGTTTCAGTCCGGGGAATTCTTTGAACCCGATGCACTCCAGTTTCATATTTGAGGCTTTCAAAAACACTTTTTCCAGTAATTGAGAAAATAATTTCTTTAAAGCCTTTAAGTCCACTTGAAGAACTGGATAGGGTTTCTAATTTCCATTTTTTTTTTTCGCAAAAAAAAGAATACATCCTAAAGAGGTCTGCAGAAAACAAACTTGCTTCTTCTCCACCAGTGCCAGCTCGAATTTCCATAACGACATTCCGATTGTCTTCAAGCGATCTAGGAAGCATGAGAATTTTTAGTTTTTCCCTTTGTTTATCAAGAGAAGCTTCTTCAGTAGTGAGTTCTTCTTTGATATAGGAAACCATGTCCTGATCTTTTTCTTCCTTAAGCATTTTCTTATAATCTGAAACCTTGGTCTCGGTTTTTTTAATCTCTTGCGAATGAGAATGAATTTCTTCTAATCGATTAAATTCATGAATGGTTTTTTTATAGTTGTGTGGATCCTTAATTAAATTGGGGTCGGAGAGTTTTTCTCTTAATAACTTGTAGTTAGCTTTAATGGCAACTAATTGCTTTTCAAACATGAATGGAAATTAAATTATGGGAATAAACTCAAGTTCTTTTTTAAAATTAACACTTTCGTTAATTTTCTTCTTAAGGAGATGGGGTTTCCCAATAAGATAGGCAGTAATTTTCCCTCCTTTAGACTCTAGACAAACCTTTTCGTAATTCTGTAAGATTGCTTTGGGAAGTTTAGAATAATATTCCTCTTTGAAATAAAGAGGCACCCCTTCCTTCCAAAGCATTTCGATGTCTTCCGTATTGGCGTTCACCACTTTTTTGTAAGGGTCAACCTCCTTGGATTTTTTTAAAATTAAGATATCAGCTAGTTTGCCTTCTTCAATTGTGCCCAGTTGTTGATCCAGTCTAAAAGCTTTTGCTGGATTGATTGTGATCATTTTAAAAAGCAACTTGGGAGAAATTTTACTTCCGTACAATTTTTGGTAGGTCTTTTGAGCGAATTGCAGTTCTGCAAAAAGGTTTACGCTTCCGGACATTGGTGAGTCGGTACCTAAGCAAACATTCACCCCTTGTTCAATGAAGTCTTTGATCTTGGCGGTTTGATTGAACATGTAATAGTTAGAGTTGGGACACCAAACCATGGATGCTTTCTGTTTAGCAATAAGTTTGATGTCCTCTAAAGAACAACTAACACAGTGAACCAATACCGAGTTTTTAAAAATTCCTTTCTTCCTGTGAAGGATTTCTGTACCTTGTTTAGATTCTTCATCAAAGCCCTCTTCCAAATGAGTGATAAAAGGAATGTTTTTCTTCTTAGCTCTTTCAATTTCAACCTTGTGATCATCTCCCCATTTTAATTCGTAAGAAGAAATTTCGTGAGCCAAGCAATATTCTTTAATAATTCTAACAAATGATCCACCTAAGAAGTCTTTATGAACAATGTGAGGAATGTGATCGCAGACGGTGGTGACTCCAGAAAGAATTTGGCGATAATAAGATATTTGGTAAATGTGTGCGTTTGTCAGCATGGATCGTTCTTGATAGAGGTCAGATGTTTTAAGATCATCGTCCCATGGTTTCCAGCTTAGATAGGGACCTCTTCCAACACGTGGCAGGTAAGTTCCCAACAAGTGATCATGGGCATTGAATAAACCTGGGTAGGCAATGCAATTCTTGAAGTCTAACGGGTTGTTAAGGGACTTACCCATTTTTTTAAAACTGATTTTCCCATTAACTAAATGTATTGTTTGGTTAGATGTCAATTTATCGGGATTACAAAGATCCACATGATTGAGCGAAAAAGAAATTTTTTTCGGAAAGGTTTGTTGCATTCCTTAAATTTTATTATAAAAAATCTTTTAATTGAGTATTTAACTCAGAATTCTTTATTTTAGAAAGAGCCCCTTTATTAATTTGTCTAATCCTTTCGCCTGATAACTTAAATTCTTTTTTAATTTCGTTAAATTTTTTTCGCGAATTATTGTTCAGTCCGTAATACATGGTGATAATTTTAAATTCTTGAGGAGTAAGGATTTTTTCAATTTTTTTTAGGTTCTCTTGGAGAGTTTTTTGAAAGAGATTTTTCTCTGGGAAGTTTTGGTCTTTTTGATTGTCGTTCAACTTACTGTCGACGTATTCTTGTTCAATATTTCCAATAGTTTTTTGGTAGATTTTTTTAGATAAATTACGAATTGCTTTATGCATTATTGATGTATCTACCCCAATTTGTTTTTCAAAAGGTTGGAAAGGGACCGGCGTTTCCCCTACTCTATTACTTCTTGAGATAGAAGTGAAATTTCGATTGTCGTAATAGAATTGACTGGAGATTCTACGAGTAATCTTTTCACGGTGCATGATGGCAGTAAGAATAGCATTCTTAACAACGAAACTCGCAAAGGTAGAAAACTTAATGTTTTTTTTATAGTCAAAGTGATCCACGGCTTTGATAAGTGCCAAATTACCTTCCTCAATCAGGTCGAATAATTGAATATAGCGATTTCGGTATTTCTTTGCAATTTGAACAACAATTAAATAACAACTTTCAACCAGACTATTTCGATAAACCTTAATTTTGTCTTCAATTTCTTTTTGTATTGTTTTGTTTTCAATTCTTTTAAATTTACTTTTTAATTGAGATATTTTTTTTGCGTAGTCTAATTGTTCATCTTTGTTAAGAATTTTCTTCCTACTGATTTCCTTTAGATAGATTTTTTCGCCGTAGCTGTGTTGAACCAAAATCTAATTTGTTTTCCTAAATAAATCTTTAAAATAGTTCACTATTGTATCATTAATAATAAACAATATCGGTACAATAAACAAAGCAGATAGAGTTCCAAAAAGCATTCCCCAAAGCATCCCCATAGTCATAGGAGAGACAATACTGTCTGTTTCTCCTATCACTTTATAAGCAATAGGGATGAATCCTATGACTGTGGTGATGGAAGTGATTAAAATAGGGCGAAACCTTGCTATTGCCCCTTGAATCACAGCTTGCTGAACAGACAAAGAGGGGACTGTTTCAGGATGACTTTCTTTGTTTTGGCTATTAATGAAGTCGATCATAATAATGGAAGAATTAATTACTACTCCACTGAAGCCGAGAATTCCAATCAAAGTAAGGAAGGTGATGTTCATATCTTGTAAGGCGAAAGCAAAAAAAATGCCAACGACTCCAAAGGGTATTGAAGAGATAACAAGGAATGGTTGGCTTAAGTTTTTAAATTGAATTACCAGGATTAAATAAATAAAAAACACAGATGCAAGAATAGCAAAACTAAATTTCGTTAAAGTGTCTTGACTCTCAATTGCTTCTCCAGAAAAAGTGATTTTCAAATCTGGATACTGCTCTTGCAAGGGAAAATATTCCTGGCTCAATTCTTCAATGATCAAACCCGAGTTCACTTTCTCGGTATCAAAACTGGCTGTAATGGTATTTTTAGTTCTTCCTTGTTCCTTGATTATTTCAGGTAAGCCAGTAGATTCTTCCAATTTCACTAATTCTTTGATGTGAACTAATTGCCTGAGAGGGTTGAGGAGGTAAATATCTTCTAATGGGTCTTCAATGTTTCTTGATGCTTCGTCAAGTTTAATAACCCACTCGAGATTGTCATTATCTTGATGAACCTCATTGACTTTAACTCCTTCATAAGAAAATCGAAGGGTGTTTGCAATACTAGAAGTAGTGATTCCCGAAAAGGAGATCTGTTCATTAGGAGTCACTTTAAATTCGGATTGGTTTTCTTCTAAGTCGGTGGAGATTCCCGAAAAGTAATTTCGGGTAGTCATGTGTTGCTTGACGAAATCAACGACTTTTTTTCGAGTTTGTGAGTTGTGTGAAAAAATATTCACCTCTATAGGCTTTCCAGCAGGTGGTCCACCAGAGTCAATATGAAAATCAATGGAGTTCAATTTAATGTTGGGGTCATGGGATATGGCTTGCTTAATAAAGTCTTGCACCTCTTGGGCAATAAGTTCTCTTTCAAGGAAAGGGGTAAGGGATAGGTAAATATTGAAATTATTTTCTGCATTGCCACCCACAATGGTTCTGTAAGCATGGACAATGTTTTCTGGCAATTGGTCGATGATCTTTTCTATTTTAGCGACCTGCTCACTCGTAAAATTAAGGTTTTTGTTTAATTGAGTGGATCCAGAAATGAAGATTTTACTTGCTTGATCATTTGAGAAAAGAAAGAAATTAATTTGTTGAATAGACCAAAAGGCTACTCCAGTAGCTAAGGCTAAAATCAAAAGGAAATAAATAAAAGGCCTTTTCAAAAACCTGATCAAAAGTTTCTGATAGAAGATGATAAGTTTTTGAATGAAGACATCTCCATAGGGTTGTTTGCTTGTTAATTTAGCGTGTGCAAGGTGACTTGGTAGAATAAACATGGATTCAAAAAAACTTGACAGCATCATGAAACTCACTGTGATGGGTATTTCAATGGCAAAATCACCTAACATCCCTGGAATAAAGAATATGGAAAGGAAAGCTCCAATATTAGTAATCAAAGCAAAGAGAAGGGGTTTAAAAATTTTCTTCACTCCCATGATGCTTGCCTCTTCGGATGAGTAGCCTTTTTCTTGGTAAGAGCAAACAAGTTCACCAATGACGGCTGGGTTGTCAACGATAATTCCAAGGGTGAGGATGATGCCGCAAAGTGAGACATTGTTAATGGTGATGTCGGTTAGCCACATGAGAGTTAAAGTCAGCAAAATTGTGACAGGAATTTCAAAAACTGCCCAAAACGCAATAGACTTTCTCAAGAAAATAAAAATAGTAATAAAAATAAGAACAAAACTCGTATAGCCATTATTAAGAGCGATGGAAAGGCGTTGTTCTGTTTCTGAAGCCCCGTTCTCTAAAATGACAACTTCTATATTAGGGTGATCTTTTGAAAATTTTTCGACTAATGGGATGATGTTTTCTGAAAAATCAAGAATATCACTTTGGGGTTTCTTAACCACATCCAATTTATACCCATTTTTACCATTATACTTAGTGATGAATTTTTGTTTTTCTAGAGCGTAGCGAACTTCTCCAATATCTTTAACTCTTAAAACGATTCCTTCTGTTTCATTAAGACCACTTGCACGAAGTGAAATATTAGCAATTTCTTCTGGATTTTGTGCTTCTGATAATGTGATGATATTTTTGATTTGGGTTTTGGATTCTAAATTACCAGCAGTTAGCCTTACTTGGCTTGACTTGATCATTTGATAAACTTCTTCAAAAGTGATTTTGAATTCCTTCATTTTTTTTTTATCAAGTAAAATGTGAAGTTGTTTTTTGGGAATGTCTTCATAAATTTGGGAAACGAGATCAGAGTTTAAGATAATATTTTTAAGCTCTAATGTTTTTTCTCTTAATTCAAATGCATCGATATTTTTAGAAACCAAACCCAGTAAAAGAGTGGGCATGTTATCAATTTTGATTTCAGAAGTTTTGGGTCGACTTAACATTTCTGATGGAAAGTCAGCAATGTCGCTGACCTCATCTCGTATCTTTCTTTTCACGTCTTCTGCTTCTGCTTCGGTATCAATTTCAATGAAGATAAAGGATCGGTCTGCAGATGAGGTGGAGGTATATTTTTTAATCCCTCCGATGGTTTCTAACCTTTCTTCTATTTTACTTGTTACTCTAGAGTTAATTTCAAATACGGAAAATCCTGGGACAATTGTTTCAATAGTCATTTGATTGAGGTCAACTCGGGGGTAGGCGAAACGTTTGAGATTGGTGATGGCAATAACCGCAACGGAAAATATCATTAAAATGAGTATCCATTTAATTAAAGTATTCTTAATGAGGAAAAGAATAATTTTTGACATATCTTCTTTATGAGTTTAGTTTTAGTGGAAGCTAATAGAGAACAACGGGAAAGTCCCATTTGATTCCATTTAAAAAGTCTCTACTTGAAAGTGTTTTCTTGTTAGATCGTTTGATTGCGGTAATTTCCAAACAACCGTCACTGAGACAAAGTATGAGTTTTCCTCCTTCCTTGTTAATGCTTCCGGGATTGATTGCTTTATTTTTTTTGATTTTTGATAACCCTTGTATCTCATATCTTATATTATTAACAAAAAAAAAAAGTCCTGGCCAAGGTTGGTAAGCAAGAAATTTAGCGTAAACTTCATCGGTTGTTTGATCTGTTTTAAGAAATCCTGCTTGTTTTTTTATTTTTTTACAATAAGTTGCTTTCTTATCTTCTTGAGGAGTGTAGGTTAAGTTGTCATCAAGTAATTTTTCAATAAAAATCGATAAAAGATCTCGGCTAGTTTCTTGACTTTTTTTGAAAACCTCTTGACTATTAAGACCTTTAATAGAGAAACTTTTTTGAAAAACAATGTCTCCTGCATCCAATTGATTATTAATTTTTTGAATCGTTACTCCACTTTTATTTTCTTGATGAAGGATGGCACTTTGTACTGGAGAGGCTCCTCGATACTTGGGGAGCAGGGAATAGTGTAGATTGAAACTTCCCAAAGGAGGAAGAGAAAAAAAACCTTGAGGAAGTATTTTCCCATATGATACAACAAAAATAAAGTCGCAGGAGAGATTTTTTAAAAAATGGATTTCCTCTTCGTCAATCTTATGGGGCTCCCTTAAATGGAGGTCGGGCAAAATGGGTTTTAACTCTTGATAATAACAAGCAATCTTACTTGATCGACTTTGCAGTCCCCTACCGTGTTTTTTGGGGGGAGTCGTCCAAAGAGCTTGAAGCGAGATTTCCGGGTGCTCCATCATCACAGATAAAATCTCCCTAGAGATAGCAGGTGAACCCATGAAGGCTAATTTAAGGGTTTTTGATTTTTGTACTGAGAGCACTATAGGTGTATCCTCCTCCTACTGAAATAAATAAGAAATTTAAATATTCGAGATTGGAATAATCTTTGGAATGGTTTTCTGTAAGGTGTAATTTTTCTTTTTTTTCTTTGAACTCTCTTAGAAAGCAATCCAAGGTCACAGGGATACTGGCACTGGAAAGATTTCCCAGTCTTTCAATTTGTTTGAGAATGACAGTGTTCGGAGTTTGGATTTTTTTTTCAAAACTCATTAAAATTCTCAGATTGGCTTGGTGGGGTACGATGTATTGAATATCTTCAAAACTTTGTTGACTGTTTTTTAATGTTTTAACAGCAATCCCGTGCATGGTGTTGACAGCATTTCTTTCTACCAGTGGTCCACTGTTAAAGAAAATATTTCCTGTTCTCTCCATGTAGACTTGTTCGCTGAAGGTAACCCCAGAAGCGAATCCCAAAACACCCTGTTGTTTGGATTTTTGAATAATGCAAGCTCCAGATCCATCACTAAAAATAATAGAGGATTTTGGATCATTAAAATCCATTTTGTCGCTTAAATTTTCTGAGGCAACAACTAATATCGTTTCAAAATGTTTGGATTCAACTTTTATTGCCGCATCTATTAAAGCATCTAAAAACCCGCTACAAGCCCCGTTCATGGTCACGGCTGAGGCTCGTTTCAAGTTGAGAAGACTTTTTAGTGTGGTTGCTGGAGAAGGCATGGTTCGACTGGAACTATAAGTTGAAAAAATAATTTGGTCGATGCTATCTGGATCAATACCAGCAGATGAAATAGCCTTTTTGGATGCCTCTGCGGCCATCAATTCAACAAAGATTTTTTTTTCCTTTCCTAAATCATGAATTTCGTCTTCTTCTGAAATGAATGGTCGGGAGATAATACCGCATACCTGTCTTACCCAAGTGTCGAAAATTTCCTCGTCACTAGAATAGGTGACATCGAAATTTTTTTTAAGAAGTGATTCTTTAGCTTTCTCTAATTCAAAATTTGAGATTTTTTGATAAAGCTCTTTATTGTCAATAATTTTTGAAGGGATAAATGAACCAACGCTAGTAATTTCAACATTCATAATGACAAAAAGTAATCATTATTATATCATATTTAGTTTTTGTAAAAATGAGGGGTGATGAAGCATTATTAATGTTTATCAGTTTAAAAAAAAATGGATTTAGTTGAATGATGGTTAAAAATCAATGAATCAAAAATCAATAATTATGCTACAATAGAAAGGTTAACAATCTTACTTTTATACTTACTTTTATAGAAAGAAGAGGATAGCACATGATACAACTCGAAGTTAGAAATGTCGTTAAGAATTTTAAAAAAACCAATGTATTAAAAAATATTTCTTTTGAAGTAGAAAAAGGAGAGTTCATTGTTCTTGTTGGTCCTTCAGGATGTGGCAAGTCGACTTTGCTCAGGATCATTGCTGGGTTAGAAGATTGTACTTCAGGCATGATCAAAATCGAAGACCAAGTTGTTAATGATATCGATCCGTCTGACAGAGGTATTTCCATGGTTTTTCAGTCCTACGCTCTCTACCCACATATGAATGTCATGGAAAACATGAGTTTTGGGTTAAAGATGACCAAAACCCCTAAAAGTGTGATTAAAAGAAAAGTTGAAGAAGCTGCAGAAATCTTAAAAATTCAAAATTTACTAAAAAGAAAGCCCAAGGAGCTTTCAGGAGGACAAAGGCAGAGGGTTGCTATTGGAAGAGCAATTGTTCGTGAACCCAAGATTTTTCTTTTTGATGAACCTCTTTCAAACTTGGATGCTGAATTACGGGTGCAGATGAGATTGGAAATTGCTAAATTGCATGAAAGTTTAAAAAGTACGATGATTTATGTGACCCATGATCAAGTCGAAGCGATGACCATGTCCGACCGAATTGTTGTTCTCAATAAAGGTGAAATCGAACAATTTGGCAAGCCTTTGGAACTGTATTCCAATCCCAAGAATTTGTTTGTGGCGGGATTCATCGGATCTCCTAAAATGAATTTTTTTAAAGTTTATGTCAGTAAAATTTCAGATAGAAATTTAGAGATCGCTTTCAAATCAGAAAAGTTAAAAATTAACTTGCCTATTAGCAAGAAAGATCAAACAAAAGCAAACCTTTCTAAAAATCAAGAATTGAATGTAGGTATCCGACCAGAGCACCTTCATTTAAAGAAGCATTCTCGCAATTCAATTCCCATGGAGTTAACCACGATGATTACCGAACGGCTTGGAAGTTTGTCCCACATTCATTGCAAGACAAAGACGAATGCTGATGTCGTCATCGAGCAAAGGGGTTACATCTCTCTTCCACCGAAGAAAAAAATCAAGACTTTTTTTGAGAAATCACATATCTATGTTTTCGATTTAGAAGGTAATCGAAAATTTTAATAAGTAAATTTGAACATATTGATTGTTGGATCAGGGGGAAGAGAGCATGCCCTGGCCTATATTGTTGAGAAATCTATCTCACGGTTTTCTAAGCGGGGGAAGGTCTTTGTCGCACCGGGTAATGGAGGAACGGATTTTCACTATGAAAATTTAGAAGTAAAAATAAAGCCCCCCTTCAATGAATTATTAGATACCATTAAAAAAAATAAAATTGATTTAGTTGTCGTTGGACCAGAAGATTATCTTTCATTAGGAATCACCGATCATCTCCAAAGTAATGGAGTCAAGGTCTTTGGGCCAAGTCAGAAAGCCGCACAGTTGGAAAGCTCCAAATCATTTGCAAAAGAAGTGATGCAAGAAGCAGGAGTGCCTACTGCGCCATTTCATACCTTCACTAATCATGCATCAGCAAAACAATTTCTTTTAGAAAGTGATCAAAATTGGGTTTTAAAAGCAGATGGTCTTTGTGCTGGTAAGGGAGTGATTATCCCTCAAAACAAGAATGAAGCAATTGCCTCTTTAGATCACTATTTTCTTGAAAAAAAATTTGGAAGTGCCGGAGAAAAAATTGTTATTGAACAATTAATGCAAGGACATGAAGCTTCTGTATTGGCTTTTACTGATGGAAAAACAGTTCGAACTTTACCAGTTTCACAAGATCACAAGAGAGTTTTTGATAATGACTATGGCCCAAACACTGGAGGGATGGGGGTTTATTCGCCCGTTCCTTTTTTTACTGGTTTCCACCAACAAATTGTAGAGGAGCAAATCATTATTCCAACACTAAAAGAAATGAGAAAACGAAACATGCCTTTTAAAGGGGTACTCTATGCAGGTTTGATGATTAATAATGAAGATATTCGAGTGGTGGAATTCAATGTCCGTTTGGGCGATCCCGAATGTCAATGTGTTTTGCCTTTGTTGGACGGTGACTTGGTAGAAATTTTAATCGCTTGTGTCGAAGAGAGACTTGATCAAGTGGATTTTAAAATACAAAAGAGACCCTCTTGCACGGTTGTCATGGCAAGTGGCGGTTATCCAGGTCAGTATGAGATTAATAAACCTATTAGTGGGCTGGATGCTGTTGATAAAGATTGCATGGTTTTTCATGCTGGAACAACCTACAAAAACGGAAAATTTTATACTAATGGAGGAAGAGTCCTATCCGTCACTGCTTTAGCTAAGAATGGCCAATCTTTTCTTAAAACTATAGAAAACTGCTATCAAGAGGTGGAGAAAATTCAATTTGAAAATGCTCACTACCGAAGAGATATAGGTCAAAAATCTCAAGGTTTATTTGATTCTATCTAGATCTACCTATAGTTATTAAAAAACTATAGAATAGCCATAAAATAAAATATCATTCTTTTTTTATTAAAAATAATTTGAAAACTTGAATTTTTTTTTAAAGGCAAAAAAATTCAAGAATAAAAACCCAAAAACGGATAATTATTAAGACAATCTTTTAAATGGCAGAGTTGGTCCGTACATTTTTCAATTCTTTTTCGAGTGGGAATAAGTATCTTAGTAGAAGTATTTATATTTTTTTAATTCTCATTTCACAGTTTTTATTCCTTATTTTAATTAGTTATACAGGTCAAGAAAATCACATTTTAGGGAAATGGGGGTATACCATTTCAAACACTTTGATGAAGGATTTTATAGGAATCACGGCTTTTGTTTTTCCTATAGGAATGTTTTATTTGGGTTTTTCACTTTTGAAAAAAACTCATAACATTAGTGAAATCATTCGGCATCTTACCTGGTTTGGAGCAGCATTTTTTTCTCTCAATTTGCTTTTACTCAATAGTTCTATCATCAATACTCCATGGGCAGGTCTTTTCCCAAGGTTTTTCCATGCCATTATCGTACATGGTTTTTCTCAGGAATTTGGGTTTAATTTTTTCGCATTTTTTTTTGAATTAGGATTTTTTATCCTTTTCACGGGGTTATTGATTAGAAGTTATCACGGGCTGGCATTTTATGAAATAATTAAAACTCTTAAAAGTCTCTTGACTAAAGGATTAACCTACACGAGGGGTTTTAAAAAGAAATGGGCTAATTTCTTTAAGATGGATGTTAGTTCCGACTCTAAAGTTTCGTTCATAAAAAGGGTCAAAGAGAAATTCATCGTTTTTTTCGATAATTATTTCAATCACTTAGTCGAGAAAGTTAATGAAGAAAATTTAGGTGACTATTTAAGTAAAGACCATCCTAAGGATTTCGTAGTTGCCACGGTTACTGGTCATCAAGCAAATTCGAATGAGAATAAACAAGGAAATAATGTACATTCTCATTTCCAACAAGATGCATCTGATGAATCTAGCTTACAAGTAGATGATTCTCAAGAACCTCAATCGATCAAAGAGGAAATGGAATTTGATTTAAAAAACAAAGAAATCATTGATTTGAGTTTACAAAATTTCTTTAAAAGTATTAATGAGGGTTTGGGGATTAGTGGTGAGGTAGACGAATCGAAAGCATCATTAGATGAGTTAGGTCATACAGATAAAGATAAAAAAGAAGAAAAAGAAAATGCTTCACTAAATAAACAGCCTCACTATGAACTGGCTGACGAAACTCTGGCGGGAGAAGGAGATCTTCAAACAGAGTTAGAAAAGTCAGGGCTAAGTGTAATCAATTTGGTTACCGACATTTCAAAGGAAAAATGTTTGGCGGATTCCAAACTCTTAGTTTTCTCTAACAATCCCCAAAAGTCTAAAAATTTAGAAGAAGAAATACAACAAACATGTAAAAAGCTTGAAAACACCATTCAAGAATTTGGCATTCAAACACAGGTGGTTAATGTCTCCCAAGGTCCAGTGATTACACAATACGAGCTGACCATTGAACCTGGTGTTCACATTAATAAAATTGTTTCTTTAGCGGATAACATTGCGTTGGCACTTGCTGCCGAATCTGTAAGAATTGTTGCTCCTATACCAGGCAAGCCGGTAATTGGAATTGAAATTCCAAATAAAATAAGAGAAATGGTCACTCTAAGGGATATTGTGGAAAGGGATGTTTTTAAAACTAAGAAAAATGCCCTACCCATTGCATTAGGGTCTTCAATTTCTGGTAATCCGATTATTTCAGATTTATCAATCACACCTCATTTGTTGGTAGCAGGTGCAACGGGAAGTGGAAAATCGGTATGTGTGAACTCGATCATTTGTTCTCTACTTTTAAGGTGCACACCGCATCAAGTACGTTTTTTAATGATCGACCCTAAGATGGTGGAGCTCAATATTTATAATGGTATTCCTCACCTATTGGCTCCCGTCATTACCGATCCTCCCAAGGCTTCCGCTGCTTTAAAATGGGCAATTGCTGAAATGGAAGCACGTTACCGACTTTTAGAAAAACATGGTGTGAGGAATATAGCTTCTTACAATGAAATAGCCGAAAAAGCCGAAAAAAAAAATGATTCAAAACTAGGTATCCTTCCCTACATTGTTATTATTATTGATGAATTCGCTGATTTGATGATGGTTGCAAGAAAAGAAATTGAAGATTCCGTTTCAAGATTAGCAGCAATGAGTCGAGCAATTGGCATTCACCTCTTGCTTGCTACCCAAAGACCCAGTGTCGATGTGATTACGGGAGTTATTAAGGCTAATTTCCCTTCAAGAATCGCCTTTCAGGTTTCTTCGAAAATTGATTCTCGAACCATCATTGATTGCATGGGAGCAGAAAAATTACTTGGTAAAGGTGACATGCTTTTCCAAAACGTCGCATCCAATGGACCTAAAAGAATCCAAGGAACTTTCCTAAGTGATCAAGAAGTAAGAGAAATTGTATCGGATCTAAGGAATAAAGGAGAGGAAGAATACATTCTTGATTTTAAAGATGGCTCCAAATCATTGAACAATTTTTCCCAGGATCATGGAGATGAAATCTTTGAAAAAGCAATTGAAATTGCCATGAAGGAAGGGAAGGTATCAACTTCTTTTCTACAAAGGAGACTTAGAATAGGTTATAATAGAGCTGCAAGGATTGTAGAAATTATGGAAGAAAAAGGAATTGTAGGAGCATCTGATGGTGTTAAGCCTCGAGAGGTTTTGGTTTCAAATTTCTAAATTTTTTTGCGGGCTTTCTTTTTTAACGAAAAAGCTATGGATCATTCTTTTAGCTTTGCTATCATTTCTATGTTCTCAGGACTTTAAAGAAATTAATCTTGAAGAGATTGGTGGATTTATCCAAAAAGTACAAGATCATCGTGACACCTATACAAATATTCAATTAGATTTTCGAGAGTATTCAAGAGGACGTTTAGTCATCGGGAAACTCTATTTCCAAAAACCTAATCAACTAAGAATAACTTACTATCAAGGAAGCCAACCAGCAACGGAGATTTATCTTGGTGAATCTCAATTAATCATTTACTTTATAAACAAATCAATTGTTTACCAACAAGAAAATTTCAATCGAATACCTAATGTCGCTAATTTAAGATTAGGTTCATTGGATTACTTATTAGAAAAATACAATGTCAATTTTAAAGAAAAAGATCCTGTATCGGCTTTTCAAAACAATGATTTCTTAAAATTTAATTTACCCAAAAACCCTGAACAACTTGCCTTTCACATGGTTCTCACTCCAAAGGATGTGACAAGTGGATTGGATGACATGGAGTTATGGTTTTTGGCTGAAGAAGATAAGGGTTTCATAGGGGAGGAACGCTATTATCCCACCCATATCGTTCGAAGTTTTTCAAAAAGTATTACTGGATTGAAAAGTGAAATTTACTTTTTTAATATCAAATTGGATAAACAATTTCCAACAAAAACATTTGAATTCGTTATCCCAAGACATGTTAGGATTGTCAGGAATTTCTTCTCACCGTTAGAGAATGACATTTTAGAAGAGGATTTGGGAATTGAGGTAAATGAGTAATTAAAAAGAAAGACCCAAGAATGGAAGAACCTCCAAATGATCATCAAGTAGATGCTCTTATCGATTTTGGTCAAAAAATCAAAGAGCATCGTCTAAGTAAAAATCTCAGCTACGAAGAACTCCAACAAAAAACTAAGGTTTCTTATAATTTTATTAGATTTCTTGAGGAAGAAAAATGGGATCAGTTACCAGCCTTTGCCTATTCTTATGGTTTGTTGGAAAATCTTTTGGAAGCGATGAGGTTGAGAGAAGAGGAAAAAAAAAAAATATTGATGGCTTTTAAAGAAATCAATCAAAATCCAAAGTCAACTATTGAGATTAAATTTCTAGAAGGCGATCAACAAGAAGAGAAAAAGGTTGATCCCAATGAAAAGAGTTTAAAAACGCATAGTGTTTGGCTTTTATTTTTTCTATTGATCCTTATTTTTTTATTGTTCTTTTATTTCAGTAGAGAAAAGAACGATAGCTTATTAAAAAGTTCTTCTTTGGAAGAAGAAACTGTTAAAAAAACCTATTACCTGTATAATAAATTCAATACTTTTGATTTAATTCCTAAGGATGAGGTGAGAGTTTTTTATAAAAATCAAACTTTGAGCTTTACTTTAAAAGAAATCCTCTCTTTAGACAGTGAACATATAGCGGTTTTAGATTTTAACAATCAAAAGATTATGAAAGTGAAACTTTTTGAAGAGGTAAGGTTGGATTTGGATGATGACCAGGCAAATGATTTGATCATTAAATTCCAAAAAACTATTGGAGAGGTTTCGATTATTTATTTTGCTATGATCAATGAAAATGTTGAAGATGTCAACTTTGAAATCATTTGGAATAGTCAGGAGAAAATTGAGATTGGACGAAAAGAATACACCTTAATAAAAAACCAAAGAAAAAGTCCAATCCAAATTTTTATTAAAGCTACCACTCTTCCTGTTTATCTTTCCTATAATATTGACGGTCAACGGCAAAACTCTATTAACTTGCAACCAGGCAACTCAGTAACTCTCATAGGACAGGATCATTTTGAAATTCAAATCGGTAATTTCCGTTCCGTCACATTGGTTGTTAACTATGTCCCGATTATATTTAAATTAGAAAATGAAAACCAATTCGGAATTACGAAACTAGTTAAGTGGCTTCCCAGTTTCAGAAATGAAACCATGTTTGATCTTGTAGTGAGGGATTTGGTTGAATGACAAACAATAAGGTTTTTACCATTCCTAATTTCATTACCTTATTTAGGTTTGTTGTACTTATTCTTCTTATTTGGGTATGGTTTGGAGTTTCTTTTAAAGATGAAATTGCAAGGCTCCTTCTTATAGTTTCCTTATTTATAATTGGTTCGGTCAGTGATCTTATTGATGGTTATTGGGCAAGAAAATATAAGGAGAAAAGCAAGGTAGGAGCTTTCTTAGATCCTCTTGTAGACAAGGTTTTTACACTTTCAATTTTTGTAGCCTATTTGTGGGTTGACTATATTGAAGTTTGGTGGGGGTTTGTTGCCCTGATTTTTTTGCGTGAAATCTATGTCACCCTTATTAGGGTTTATGCAACTATTCAAAATAAAGTCTTAATTACAGAAAAACACGGAAAAACCAAAATGTTGACCCAGGTTATTTGCCAATCGGTTATTTGGTTTTTCTTCCTTCAATATGCAATTACTTTTGAAATCCGTTTATTCAAAGACTACCTTATTGCTAATAACTTTCAATTAGACTTGTTAAATCTTAACTTTGAGGTATTTTCAAATTTTTATACGAATGTTTACGGTTTAGACAGTTTTTGGATTCAGTTTCTCTATTATGCTCCTAATTGCTTGGTGGGTTATACAGCTTTTTTCACCGTGTACTCAGGTATTAAATATATTATCAGCAATCAGAAAACTCAAGAAGCCTAATACCTTTGATCCATTACTTTTAAAATCAATTTAAAAATAAGATCCAATGATTGATTCACTCTTAGAATATGTTATAATATAACTTAGGGGGCGTAGCTCAGTTGGGAGAGCACTAGCTTTGCACGCTAGGGGTCGTGAGTTCAATCCTCATCGCCTCCATTTTATTTTAATAGCGAGGTATGAAAATGAAAAATAAAATTTTAGTCGTAATATTGATAACATTACTTTGTTTCAATTTTGTGTTAGGTGTTTCATATAATGTGGACAAGGCTCATTCGTCTGTTGGATTTGAAGTAACCCACCTATTGGTGAGTGAAGTGGATGGAGTTTTTGAAGATTATAAAATCGAACTGGATATGGTTAAAAATAATATTCGAAAATTCAATATTACTATCCAGGCAGATTCTATTGATACAAGGAATTCCAAGAGAGATGATCATTTGCGATCCAAGGATTTTTTTGAAGCAAAAAAATATGGAACAATTACATTTAAAAGTGTCGGTTATAAAAGAATTAATAAAAATCAAGGAATGATTCCTGGTGACCTGATTATGAAAGATGTTAAGAAAAGGGTTATCTTAAATGTAAAAATAAGTGATCCAGTCTCTTTTAAAGGTAAAAAGGTCCATGCGGTCAAAATTGATTCTAAAATCAAGCGCAAGGATTTTAAAGTAGGGGCTAACTTTCCTAATGCTGTGGTGGATGATCTTGTTAATATCAACGCTAGCTTAGAAATTTCCAAGAAATAATTCTTTTCAAAGAACAGCTCAAAGGGTTCCTCTTCATAATAATTTGTGGGAACCCTTATATATTTTAATCATTTCTTCTAAAGATTTGGTTCATTATTGATTTAATTTATAGCCCCAAAAACCCCAAGCCAATATTATGATTGACATGGGCAGAAGGTAGTAGCTAAATAAATAGAGCTTTTCACTTTTAACCATTTTCAACAATAGATGAATGGAGAAATACCCTACAATAAAACTAATTCCAAAAGCTGTGATGTAGCTTCCACCGTGTTCTATCAATAGATTTTCTTTTCCTAATTTAATAAGTTCTACAAACTCCAAAATGAACGCTCCTGATATTGCTGGTATAGAAACTAAAAATGAGTACTTCATTGCATCTTGATGTTTCATTCCTAAAAACATAGCGGAAACAATCGTAGCTCCTGATCGGGATATGCCTGGCAACACGGCGAATCCTTGTATTATCCCTATTACGACAGCAATCAATAAACTGATGTTCAGTACTTCAATAGATAAGGATTTCTTGAAATTGTATTTGCTCCAATATAGAATGGAAGCATTGATTAAAAATAAAATCCCCAATGCTATGTAATTTTGATAGAAATTTAAAATAAGCTCTTTAAGTTCCAATCCAATTAAAGCAGTAAACAATGAGCTGACAAAAACCATAGCAAAAAATTTTGAAAAAATCATTGACTTGATGGATTTTTTGGAAAATGAATTGGGGGAATTTAAAAAGGAAATGATCTCCTTAAAAAAGTTGCCAGTAAGATAAATAATGTCTTTTTTATAAAAAAAAATAGTGGCAAGTAAAGTTGCTAAATGAATAGTGATGTTAAAAAAAAGAATTTGATCTTGATCGAACTCGTATAAAGATTCGATAAGGGTGAGATGACCTGAGCTGGAGATTGGAAGAAATTCGGTTAGCCCTTGTAAAAAGGAGAGGCTGATGATTTCTAAATAATTCAATTAATTCCTAACAATGGTATCTTGTTTCTCTGGTCCAGTAGAGATGATTGAAATACGAAGACCTAAATATTCTTCAAAATAATTAATGAATTTCTGTGCATTGGGATGAAGCTCATCAAAAGTTTGAACTTGATAAACTTGATCTTCCCATCCTTCAAATTCGATATAGACAGGTTCTGCTTTTTTTAATTTTTGGTTGGATGGAGGAAACATATCGGTTTTGAAACCATCCACTATGTAGTGAGTGCAAAACTTGATTTTTTTATAGCCAGTAAAAACATCCAATTTGGTGATCACCAAATCAGTAACACCGTTAATCATGAGAGAATACTTGGCTTGAACTCCATCAAACCATCCACAAGATCTCTGTCTACCAGTGGTTGCTCCAAATTCTTTGCCTTTATCACGTAGTTGGATGTTTTCTTCGTTGCTAAGAATGGTGGGAAGTGATCCTTTTCCAACTCGAGTTACATAAGCTTTGAAAACACCATATATTTTTTGAAAGTGATTAACAGCAATTCCCGTACCAGTAGCAGCTCCTCCAGAGGTGGGAGAAGAAGAGGTAACAAAGGGATAAGTTCCGAAATCAATGTCAAGCCCTGCTCCTTGTGCACCTTCTAATAGAATATTTTTTTGAGAGATCGCATGGTTAAGGTAATAGGTAGTATCAATTACATAGGGTTGGATGATTTTAAAGTCTTTTAAAGTTTTTTCCAAAATTTCTTCAGCGGTCACCAAGTAATCATGTTGATAATAATTTTTCAATAAATTCTTTTGCTCGTCTAAACAAGATTTTATTTTATTTAAAACTTCTCCTTCATCAAATAAATCTCCGACTCGAATTCCTTTTCGGTCATATTTATCGGTATAGGCAGGTCCAATGCCTTTACAGGTTGTTCCAACTTTGTTTTCTTTTTGCTCTTTGACTTTATCAATTTCAAGGTGATAGTCCATGACCAAGAAAGCTTTATCACTTATAAAAAGGCGTCCCTCAAACGATATTCCCTCTTTTTCTAATGTTTGGATTTCTTTAACTAATTGGGGGAGATAGATGACCATCCCATGAGATAGGACAGCAGTTGTTTGAGGATGAAGCACGCTCGAAGGAAGTAGGTGAAAGACGTATTTCACTCCATTTTTGAAAACGGTATGTCCCGCATTGCTACCCCCTTGGAAGCGACATACAATATGGTACTTGTTAGAGAGAAAGTCAATGATCTTGGCTTTGCCTTCATCACCCCACTGCCCCCCTACAAGGATATCACATTTCATGGTTGATTGGTTTGCAGATGAAGCACGTAAGTAGCAATGACATGAATTTCGCTATCCGATAGATTGGGGTAAGCTGGCATGGTACTCTTTGGATTGCCAATAACTCCCTTTTTAATGGTGGTTTTGATAGTGTTTAAGTCGCTTCCTTGTCTATAGCTACTTAGATCGCTGAAGTCACGGGGCTTAAAATTATCTTCCATTCTTGCTGCGCGGTAGCCATCACCCTTCCCATAAGTCCCGTGACATTTAACGCAACCTCTCAAGTGATATTGCCTTTGTCCTTCTACCAAAGTTTGCTCAACAACTGAAATCTCTTTTTTATTGCTCTTCCCACAACTTATTATGAGTAATAGTAGTAAAAGAATTAAAAAAAAATCTAAGAACCTTAGGGACATAGTTAGGATTCTTTTAATCGTTCCTTAAAACTTAGAAAGATTTATAGCATTAATTCTATTCTACAGGTTGCCTCAAAATGGATTTCATGTTTTCAGGAATCACCTTACGCGGATAGGAAAGATGCACTTCATGGTAAAACCCGTTTTCCTGTAATCCTTGGAGAGAAATAAATTTTTTGATTTCCTTGTAGGAATAAACCTCTGATCCAATCTTCCCATAATGCATGATTTGTACACACTTTCCTATATTGATTTTTTCAGTAAAGATTTCATCTGCTAATTGAAAGTTTTTTTTGCGAATACAAAAATCCTTGGTTTCTTCGATTAAGTCTTCGCTGATAAAGTCGTACTTCCTCACTAAAAGTATCCAAAAGTTATCATCATTACTTATTTGACTTTGAAGTAAATTATCACCTTGAGTCCACCTGATTATTTCTAATTTGGGGAAAGTTAAATTAATATCCTGTTTCTTACAAGTTTGCTGAAGCATCTTATAAAAAAAGAAAATACCGTTAACTTTGTTGTTAAATTCCACTCCGCTAGTTTCACCTTTTCCTTTTAATTTAATAAAGTCATACTGACCAAGTTCCACAATGGATGGAGCATTAGTTGCTGTGTGATAAAAGGGATCCTGTTTAACAATATTGTATTTTGTATTCATAATCTTATCCTAAGTTTTTATTTTTTCAAATTCATCAATAATTTGATCAACCCAATTTTTAATTCTTTCATCGGTTAGGTCCTCCTGGTTATCGTTATCAAGTGACAACCCAAGAAATTTTCCTTTTTGAAGGGCGAGTGATTTTTCAAATTGATGACCTTCTGGAAGAGTTTTCCCAATAAGTAAAGCTCCTCTCTCCATCAATTTTTCGGCAAGGATTCCAATGGCATCTTGATAAGTATCGGGATAGCCTTCTTGGTCGCCGCATCCGTAAACCGCAACGATTTTACCTTTAAAATCCAGTTCATTAAATTCTTCGAATAATTCCCCCAAATCTGCTTGCAATTCACCAATATTCCAAGTTGGAGAACCAAAAATGAGGAAGTCATATTCCTTTAAATCATTTATCTTGATATTTGCAATGTCAATCGGGTCGTCTATTTCAAAATTCTTTGAGGTCAGTAAATTAACAATATCAAAGGCATGTGTTTTTGTGTTCCCAGTTTCTGAAGCATAAACTAAGCCCTTTCTCATAAACAAGACACAATTGATAAAAGATATTATAACATAAATTAGATAATAAAAAAGTAATGAAAAAAAAATAGTCTCATTCTTTGTTTGATTTTCTAAACTTTCTTCCTAAAATCAAGTTTTTAGTTGAGATCCTCGTATCTTATGATTTTATGTTATAATTATTAAGATCTTAAACATGTATAAATTTTCTCTAGGAATTCATTCCCTTAACCGTTATCTGGTTTTCTTGTTATTATTAGCAGTCATCGTTAATTCCCTTGTCAAGTGGGTCAGTAAGAAAGACTTTAATAGACAGGACAACCTTCTTTCTTTGTGTTTGATGGTTGTAGCCCACATTCAATTGCTCTTGGGTGCAGTACTTTTCTTCACTAGTGGGCTGGTGAATTTTGAGGTTGCCACTAAAGTTCCGATGATACGCTACTGGACAATGGAGCATGGCTTGGGCATGATCATAGCGATTGTCTTAATCACACTCGGGCGTGTTCGATCCAAGAAAATGGCAAAGGTAAACAGCAAGAAAACCCATCTGGTATTGTTGATTTATAATGTTCTAGCATTCGTTTTGATCATTATGGTTCTCCTACCAAGCGGTCGAAGAATTATTTAAAAGAGAATTAATTAGAAATTTTTCTAATTTTCTAATTTTCTAATATCATTAGTAATTTTTAGAGTGGATATTTATAAGATTTAATAGATAGCTCAACTCATGGTGAAAAATAAAAAAGAAATTCGAAGGAAAAGAATTGAAAAGACTCTCTCACAAAATATTTCTCAATTGGTACTTTTGGAAATGCAAGATGACCGCTTGAAAGATGAGATGATCTCTATTGTAAAAGTGAACTTAAGGGAAGATTTAGAAGAAGCATCGGTTTATTTCAATACTTATCATCCCCAAAATAAAAACAAGGTTATTAAGATGCTTTACCGAGCTGAGCCTTTTTTCCAGTCCGTACTAAAAAAAAAAATCCTCATAAAGAAAATCCCCAAACTAAAATTCTTCTATTACGAAGAAACTCAGAACAAAAACTCAGAGGTCGTGAATCTCATTGAAAAGCTTTCCGTCCAATATAATAATCCTCAAGATAAATTGAACCAAGAATGAAGCGAAACAACAATCAAGTAAAAATCCTATTATGAAAAAAATTGGATTCATTGGGTGGCGTGGAATGGTAGGGTCCGTATTGATTGATCGCTTCATAGCTGAAAAAGACTTTGACGACACCTCCTCGTTTGCCTTATTTAGTACTTCCCAATCTGGAGAGGAAGTCCATCTCTTTCCAGATCGTAGTCATCGATTGCAAGATGCTTATGATCTGAATGCTCTTGCTCAAATGGACATATTGGTTTCATGTCAGGGAGGGGAGTACACTAAGAAAGTTCATCCGCAACTTCGATCGAAGGGTTGGGTAGGCTTTTGGATTGATGCAGCTTCTACTCTGCGGCTTGACGAGAAAAGTGTGATTGTTCTTGATCCTGTTAATCGGGAGATGATTGATCGCAAGCTGGAGCAGGGTGTTAAAGACTTCATAGGGTCAAACTGCACGGTGGCTATCATGGTGATGGCCATTCACGGCTTGTTTAAAGAAAATCTTATTGAATGGGTGAGTAACATGACTTATCAGTCCGCTTCTGGGGTCGGTGCCAAAGGGATTGAAGAGATGATCCAGCAAATGAACATTCTTTCTCATGTAGGAAGAAAGTCTCCTGGAGAAAGTATTCTTGCCTTGGAAAGACGGCTTACCGAAACAATGAATGATTCTTCCTTTCCACAAGAGAAATTGAAGACCGCTTTAGCGGGCAATATCATTCCATGGGTGGATCGTCGCATGGACAATGGACAGTCTCGTGAGGAGTGGAAGGGCTTTAAAGAAACTAATAAAATTTACGGGTTTAATCCTCCCATACCGATTGACGGGACCTGTGTGCGTGTAGGGGTAACCCGTTGCCATAGTGAAGGACTTACTATTAAACTCAAGAAAAATTTACCCATTGAAACGATTGAAGAAAAGATTCGTTCAGCCCATGAATGGGTACATTGGGTACCTAATGAGGGGGATATTACTGTGCAAAAACTTACTCCTTCAAAAATTTCTGGCAAACTCTCCATTGGTGTGGGGCGGGTAAGAAAAATGGAGATGGGGGGAGAGTATCTTAATGTGTTTTGCATCGGTGATCAATTATTGTGGGGTGCAGCAGAACCCTTGAGGAGAACAATTCTCATCCTCATGGGTTTACTTAAATGACAAGGAGTTGATATGTACCAAGTCATTGATCTCTACTTTCAAAAACAAAGTAAAAATATTGCTTGTTTTCTCATGCCGATTAAGGAAGGTGATCGAACAAAGTGGATTATGTTTGAAACAGGTCCTTACAGTTGTTATCCAATTCTAGAGACAAGTCTCAAGGAAAAAGGAATTGCTATTGAGGATATCACCAAAGTCTTTGTGACCCATATCCACCTTGACCATTCTGGGGGGGCATGGAAATTAGCGGAAAGTGGAACTGATATTTATGTTCACCCTATTGGAGCTCCCTTCATGGTCGATCCCACAAAGTTAGTGGAGTCGGCTTCTCGCATCTACGGGGATCAGATGGAAACATTGTGGTCAATGGTGAAAGGAATCGACAAAAAAAAGGTTTTCCCTGTAGATGACGGAAAGGTTTACTACTTTAAAGATCTAGAAGGAAACGAATTTTCTGTCCAAGCGCATCACAATCCAGGGCATGCAAGTCATCACATTGCATGGCAAGCTGGGAAAATCCTTTTTGCGGGGGACGTTCTTGGTATTCGCATTGATAACTGCCTAGTAGATGTTCCTTGTCCGCCGCCTGACTATCATCCTGAATTATGGTTGGATTCAATAACTAAAATTCAAAAACTGGATCTGGATGAAGTGGTGCTAACCCATTTTGGAAGTTTCACAGACATTGATCATCACATTGACCAACTCAAAAACCGCATGCGAAAAGTCATGGATTGGTTTCGCAGGCAACTTAAGCAATCCATCACGCGTAATGAAGTAGAGAAGCAATTCATTGATTTTATTAAACAAGGTTACATTCAAAACGGCATGACAGAAAAGGATATTGAGAATTATATTAATATCAACCCCCCCTTCATGACAGTGATGGGAGTGCTTCGCTATTTGAAAAAGTATGAGGAACTTACCTGTAGTGATATTTAGAAGTCAAAACTGTTTTTCCCAAATACGATTTCCCCATAACCATTAATAAAAAACAACATCAGGTTCTAAGGTGCCAGTTCCCTCTTTTAGTTTATAGTAAAATAATGTAGTGAAAAAAAAATCTATTAATATTGGAATGTTTGGTCTTGGGGTGGTTGGATCAGGGGTTTTAAAGTTACTCCAAGAAAACCAACATATCATAAAAAAACGTTGTGATAAAGTTTTCAAAGTTACCAAAGTAGTTGTTAAGGACATAAAAAAAAAAAGAAACCTCACTCCTCGAGCCTTGAAAGGTACAAAAATTTCTGATGATCCCAATACTATTTTAAATGATCCAGAAATTGATGTTATTCTTGAACTCATCGGTGGCAAAGGTTTAGCATACAAGGTATTCGAGCAATGTGCTAAAAATAGAAAGCCCATCATTACTGCAAACAAGGCCTTTCTTGCCGAGAAAAGTGATGACTTAAACCATTTTTTCAAGAAAGGGCGAACTTGTTTAGGTATTGAAGCCAGTGTGGCGGGATCAGTGCCTATTCTCCAAACTCTTCGTTATGGATTAAGTGCAAACGATATTCGAAGTGTTCATGGGATCATCAACGGTACCGCGAATTATATCCTCACTGCCATGGAGATGCGAGACTTGTCCTTTAAGGAAGCTCTTAGCGAAGCTAAAAAATTTGGTTATGCTGAGCAAGACCCAACATTTGATATTAAGGGACATGACAGTGCTCACAAACTTTCGATTCTCATGGGGATTGCTTTCCATCATAGTTTTCGCTATGCTGAAATCAGCAAGCAAGGAATCGATCAAGTGGATGCGACTGACATCCACTATGCTAAAGAATTCGGTTATGTAATGAAGCTCCTTGGCATTGCAAAAAAAACTAAACTTGGTTATGAAGGGAGGGTTCATCCCACTTTGATTCCCGAGACTCATTTATTAGCAGCGGTTCATGGGGTTCATAATGCTGTCTTTGTAGATGGGAATTACTCAGGACCTCAACTTATCTATGGAATGGGTGCAGGATCCAAGCCCACTGCCTCGGCTGTCGTTTCAGATTTGATTGGTATGTTTGAGTATGAGAGTATCCATTCCTCTCTTAGTTCGCCCGAAGAAAGATATTTCTTTGAAAACAGCTTGGAAAAAATCATCCCACTTGAAAAGATTTTTTCTAAATTCTATATTCGTTTTCGCATCTTTGATCGCATTGGGGTGATGAGCCGCATTAGTTCCATCTTAAGTAAGAATCAAATCAGTATTTCTCAGATGATTCAAAAAAGGTTAGTAAACAGCAATGCAAAAGTTGATCTTATTATCATCACTAATAATTGCTTGGAAAAAAACATGAACCTAGCCTTAAAAAGTATCTCACAAGAAAATTTTGTTTCGGGGTGTTATCATTGGTACCGGATAGAGGATATTAATGAGTAAATTCCCGCAATTTCCAGAGTCGCCGTCTTCTGGTAAAGACTCCCATTCCTATTATAAAAGTCTTTTTCGATACACTTTTTGGGTTTTTTTTATTTTTCTTTTTACCTTTGGTGTGGTGTTTGTGGCCCTTCTAAAGAAAAATGAAACACACCAGTTAATTGATTTTCGGGGTCGTAATATCGTTTCTGCCATGCAGTGGATCAATCGACACTCCCTTCGTGTAGTGATTTATGAAAAGATTGATCTTAATGTACCTCGCTACCATATCATCTCTCAAAATCCCGAACCTGGCGATACAGTCAAAGAAAACCGTACGATCTCTTTAACGGTGAGTTCGGGGAATAAGACATTGATGCCCAATTATGTAGGAAGTAATTATACCGAATCCTATAATAACCTTTTCGCTCATTTTTCTGGCTATCAGGTGATTCCGAAAGTAACTAAAGTTGAAAGGTTTTCGGATATTAACGAGGAATTGATTATTGATCATTATCCTCGGTATGATGAACCTGTTGATCTTCAAGAGGAAATTATCTTTGTTGTAAGTAAGGGCCATACCTTTGGGCCGATTGTAGTAAGTGATTACATTTCTTCAAACTACATCGATATTGAAGAGAAAATGCTTACAGCTGGGATTAATGTGAAAGAGAATTATATTTTTACCCGTAATCGTAATTTATCAGGGAAAATTGTTTCCCAAGACCAGACAAATGGCACGACCCTCAATCGAGGAGATAGTATTCAATTCACTGTGGGAATTTTTTCAAGCAAAGAACAAATTGACGATAAAGTCATCAACAAGATTGAAATTTTAAGAACCTATGAACTTGTAGTACCAAAGATAAGCAATATAGAAAACTTTAAAGAAATTATCAGTAGCAACAACCAAATCCTTTTTTCAAGTAATGTCCAAAGCATCCTTTCGGTCAGTGATCAAAGGCGAGTAAAGGTTATATTGAAAGATTCCTTAGGCGAGAGGGTACTGATTGACGATTTTTATCGTTTTGAAGAAAAAATCTTCCTTCCTTATAAAACGGTGGGAAGAGCAGAATTGCAAGTTTACATTGATGAAAAGCTTTTTGAAGAAATTAAATTAAGTAAGTAAGTAAGTAAGTGAATTGACAGATCTGTGTTTTTGCTCAATCACCAACAAGAAAAATCAGTCAAAAACAAGAAAGGGAATACTCTCATCATTGCAGGGGCAGGTTCAGGGAAAACTCGAACCCTCATAGCCAAAGTCATTCACCTTATCTTAAATGAAAGGATTCATCCATACCACATTCTTGCCATTACTTTCACTAATAAGGCTGCGAGAGAAATGAGAGAAAGGGTAGCTCCTTTGATCAGAGATTTCTTGGAAAATGCACATGGGATGAATGAACAGAATTTTTTTCGTGCTCTCCAAATTAAAACTTTCCACAGTTTTGGGATGTTCATCCTAAGGCAGTTTATAGAAAACCTTTCATTTGAAATCAACGGCAAATTAGAGTTTTATAATCGAAACTTTTCTGTCATTGATCCTGGAGATCAGAAAAGAATCATCAAGAAACTTCTTCCGGACTACAATGCCGATGAAATTCCAATTAAAAAAATACTTAATTTATTTTCTGCTTGGAAGAATGATCTCATCTACCCTGACAAAAAAGACTTTCGTGATAGAGTACGGCACTATTTTGAAGACTTTGTGTTTAAGATTGACCCTATCCAACTTTATGAAGATTATTTTAAGTATAACCTTAAAAGTCATGTCGTTGACTTCGATGATCTCATTGGTTTTACTATTCGATTGTTTAAAAAAAAAGAAGTTGTTGACTATATGATTCGAAGATGGAAATATATCCTAGTCGATGAATACCAAGACACGAACTATCTTCAAGAGAAGATTATTGAGTTTTTCATCAAACATGGAGCACAGGTGATAGCAGTTGGGGATGATCAACAATCGATCTATGGCTTCCGTGGCACTAAAATATCGAATATCCTCTCCTTTAGGAAAAAATATCCAAATGTAGAAGTCTTTGTCTTGGAAGAAAATTATCGAAGTACTCAACATATTCTTGATTTAGCGAACCATGTCATTGCAAAGAACCCTACTACATTTCAAAAAGGATTGTTCACAAATAATCGTACTGGTCAGAAGCCAAACTACTACCTTTTTGAGAACGACATGGAATGCACTAAGTGGATCATGGAAAAGATATCTGATATCAAGGACAAGATTCCCTTAAATGAGATTGCTATCTTTTATCGTACGAATTACCAATCAAGAATTTTTGAAGATGCAATGGTGAGCAATGAATATCCTTACCACATCTTTCGAGGACTCAAATTCTATCAAAGAAAAGAAATTAAAGATTTGCTTTCCTATCTTTTTTGGATATTCAACCCCAATGATCGAATTGCCTTTGAGAGAATGGTGAATACTCCACCGCGGAGAATCGGCGAAAAAAGTGTTTCTAAAATCTTAAACTACTTGGAAGAGAAGGGCATGGGACTTGATCGAGTTTTTGAGGAAGAAATTGCTGGACAAATTAAAGATTCCAAGGGGCGGGAGGCATTTATTCTTTTAGGAGAGATGTTTAAAGAGGTAAAGGAGAAGTTAGATGATTCTCCCCATAGTGTCGTCGAGTTTATACTCAATCGAAGTGGTCTGCAAAAGCAAGCCGAATCTGATTCTGATTCTGCATCTCGAGACTTAAAGCTGGGAAATTTCGATTCTTTTATGGATACATTACTTTGGTTTGAAAAACAGCATGGTGGTAGTCTAGAAGAATTCATTGCCTCTATTGCTTTAGGAGATGAAGAAAACGATACCCCAACACCCAAGATAAGTTTAATGACAGTTCACAATGCAAAAGGCTTGGAATTCAAAGTGGTTTTCTTGGTGGGCATGGAGGAGGACGTTTTTCCTCATTATCTTTCCATGAATGATATTGAAGAGATTGAAGAGGAGCGACGACTTTTCTATGTTGCCATTACGCGTGCAAAGGAACAACTTTATATTTCTTCAGTAAAGAGAAAATATCATCAAGGAGAATTTCGTGAAATGGAAGAATCACGTTTTATCAAAGAAATTGATGAACAATTTTTTGAAAAAAATGAAAGTGTGCAAGATGAACACGATTTTTTCTAATTTTGAAAATACGAAAATTTAAATCTAAAAAGTGTTCATATTTTAATTAACCCAAAAGCAAGAAAAAGTTTAGTTATTCTTTTATTAATAATAAATTCTAAATTTAACTAATAAATTTAACTAATAAATTTAACTAACTTAGCGTAGACAATAATAAATTAAAAAAAATCCAACTGATTTGGTAATAAACAATTATGCCATTTGTGATCGAATAACATCAATTTATTAGAAATTAGGAATTTCTTGATTTTTTGAATTATTTTTTGTCTATATATTGTTCTAATCATGTTAGAATAATATGTAAAATAATAGTTATTTAGAATTTCCTCATGGTTATTAAACCAAAAATCAAAGGTTTTATCTGCACAACAGCCCACCCAAAAGGTTGTTTAATGAATGTTGAAGCTCAAATCAAGCGGGTTCAGTTACAATCTAAAATCGACAATCATTCCAAAATCAATAATGTGTTGGTAGTTGGTGGATCGACTGGATATGGGCTTGCTTCAAGAATTGTCTCTAGTTTCGGACTGGGAGCAAACACTTATAATGTCTGTCTTGAAAGACCTCCAAAGGAAGGTAGAACAGCCAGTCCAGGTTGGTATAACACCGCTTTTTTTGAAAAAAAGGCAATTGAGTGCAGTTTCGGGGCTCAAACCATTATAGGAGACTGTTTTTCCGACGAAACCAAGAATGAAGCTATCAAACTCATTAAAAAGGACAAAGTTAAAATTAATATGGTTATTTATTCAGTAGCATCTCCTAAACGAGTTGACCCTGAATCCGGAACTATCTATAAATCATCCCTTAAGCCTATTGGGAGATCTGTCGAAAGTGTTACCATTAATCCTAATACTGCTGAATTAAGCAAAGTGAACATCGATCCTGCCCCCCAAGAAGAAATAGAGAACACCATTAAAGTCATGGGCGGTGAAGATTGGAAAAGATGGATTGATTTTCTTGAAAAAGCTAATGTTTTATCGGATGGTTTTCTTACCTTTTCTTATTCCTATATGGGACCAGAGATCACTCAATCTATTTATCGCCAAGGTACCATCGGTCAAGCAAAACTAGACCTTGAAAAAACAGCCCAACTTATCACTGATAATAATCAAAAAAATGGTAAAGCTATTGTTGTGGTGAATAAAGCATTGGTCACCCATGCATCTTCTGCTATTCCCATACTTCCCCTTTATGTGTGTATTCTCTATAAAGTGATGAAAGAAAAGAACTGTCATGAAGATTGTTTGGATCAGATCGATCGATTTTTGAGAAATAAAGTTAAGTGGAATTTGGAGAATTCATTTGAGATGGACGATAATCAAATGATAAGGATGGATGACTTGGAGATGAGCAAAGATGTGCAATCAGAAGTTAAAAGACGATGGGATAATATTGAAAAAGATCTTGAAAATGCAGATTTGTCGTTAATTGACCAAGAAGGTTATCTAAGCGATTTCTTGAAATTGTTTGGTTTTGGAATGGATCTTGATTATGAAGAGGATGTCAGTGAAATGGTGGAAATCCAAAAAGTTTTTTGATAATGATCAATAAAAATAAAAAGAAAATTTCAACTTGATTGAGAAATTATTTTTAAATTACAGTTATAAAGACTTTCAGCACGATCGGCAATTTGTCGACAGCCCGAAATTGGCCTTAGAATATAAGAAGAAATTCCTTAGTGAAAAATACAATCATCTCTACAAGGAAGGCAATAAAACAGTCGGGGTTGCTTCTATGAGGTATTTTAAAACCCTAAGTGAAATTTGGAAGAAAAACGCTTTCTTCATTAGAGATTTTGTTGTTGATGAAAATATAGAAAATGCCTATTCCAATTTATTAGAAGCCTTTTTAGATAAATATAAGAAGGAGATCGATTTTCTTATCACTAAGCAGCCAATCGATAACTATAATGGTATCAATGCCTTAATACGAAAAAACTTTTATTATGTTTGTAATGAAGTCATTTATACTCTTAATCTTGCCAAGAACACTCCTAATCAGGCAAGATTTTCGCCATTTGTCCAAGAAGCGACTGAAAAAGATTTAGGCATTATTAAAAAAATGGTCTATGGTAACCATAAATTTAATCGTTATCTATTTGACCCTGTTTTTTCGATTGATGATGTTACGAAACTATATGAAAAAGTGATTGAACAAAGTTTCCAAAACGATCATCATTCCATCTATATTTATAAAAAAGACGAACAAATATTGGGATTCCTCACCACTATTTTTAATAAAGAGATCTCTTATATGATGGACGATCGTTATGGTAGTTTTGATTACATTATTGTAGATGAAAAATTTCAAAAAAAAGGCATTGCTTCTTCCCTCATGTATCATGCCTTGGCAGATTTTATGAAAAAGGACATTCGTATTGTGAGTGTTAAAACTATGGCGAACAATTATCCTTCCATTAGGTTGCTTGTCAAAGATAATTTCTTTGTCACTTCTCAAAACATGGTACTGCATTATAAAAACTAAATTCAATGATTGGTCTTTAAAATTCGATGTTAAATAAAAGGCTTTTTAAAAATTATTGATTTTCAATCTTTAAAGCATTAACATATTATTATGAACAAACTGGTTAAAATTATCATCTCGGTGCAAATGATTTTAATTGTTGCACTTATATTACTTCTTTTGGGAGTGATTAAGAATCCATCTGACGAACTACAAACAAATATTGCTAAAAAGAAAGATTTTTATCAAAAATCTCATTCTAGCCCACAGTTGAAAAATCAAATTTCTGACATTATTGATTTTGGTGCGCTTAAAGGAAATAAGAAAAACAGGAAAGATGTTAACAAGAATTTGCAAGTTAAAAAGACTAAAGACGAATCTCTTGTTAAGACGATCATTCTTGGATCCGATAAAAAGACCTTCGCACCTAAAGAAATTTTTGATATCAACCCTCAGAAAAACCTTTGGGGATACTACAAAGATAACAACCAAAGGTTAGGAGAGTTTAAAATTTTAGACCCCGATCTCTCGCTGGTTGATTTTAGGAGCAAGGAATTTAAAGGTTCTCATTTGCGAGAATCCTTGGAAAGCTATTCTAAATTGAAAGTCTATGTCTTGGTTGAACTTAAAAAAAAAATTTCTTTTAAAAACCTCTATTCTTTGAGGACAAAACACCTTACTTTCATTCCAGGTTTGAACGAGAAATATTATCTTGGTAATTATGCAGGGGTTTTTTATATTGCCTACAAACATCTAAAGAAAATTTACAGTGATCCTTCTATTCGCAACATTCATATCTTAAAGAATTACACCACTTCTTCCAAATACCAGATAGGTATCAAGTCGCCAGAGAACATAGATTCCCTTAAATTTACAATTCATTATCCCTACTCCAAGCTCGGCTTGAAAATTTTTAATCAAGAAAATCAATTTCTTGGAAATGCTGATTTTTTGCAAGAAGACGATAAAGAAAACCACCGATTGTTTGTCACAACGCCCATCAACAAAAATATGTCCTACAACTTCACTAGTCTCATGAATATCAAAGTTTCACTCCAAGACAATTTGAATCGCAGCATCGCAAGAGGGGAAGGTGTGAGTTTAGATGATTATCATGAAATTATGCAAGACGACCATCAAGACACTTATGATCAATTCACGGTTATGGGGGAAAAAATCGTTTCGTCAGAATACATCAAAAGCATTGTTAGTCAAATTGACACCTCAATGGATATTCAAGGCATTTGGAGACAGATCACCTTTTTCTTAGATAAGGATATCCGTTATGATTGGCAGAAACGAGAACTCTTTTTTAGTGGCAATCTGGTCTATTACAACATTAAGGACATGTATCTTAATGTCAAAGAGCTTTCGGAGAAAAAGGTAGGTGCTTGTACAGAAAGGACAGCCTTGGAAATTGCTATTTTAAGGGAATTGGGAATTGCTGCTCGAAGTGCAACACGTGTCTACCATATTTTTACTGAAATCTATTTGCCTGAAGATGGGTGGGTTTCAACCTCACTTACTTTGAATGAAATACCTTTATGCCATTCCATCAATGAAAAGATGGCATATTTTATTGAATGGGATCAAAAATTCCCTATTCGCCTTAAGTGGAAAGCAAAAAACTATCCGTTAATCATAGAAAGTTTATTAAAAAATACTTCATTGGCTAAAAGGTAATTGAAAGTAGTAGCTTCACGATGAAAATTGAAGACCACCTTTTCGCTAAAAAAAATAAAAACCAAATATTCTCATCTGCTATTATCACCCATAAAAACTGTCCAGATGGTGTAGCGTCCGCGATCATTGCTAAAACTGTTTTTCCTAAAATTGCTGTTTTTTTCACGAATCACCACCAAATTAATTCACAAGTTGAGAAATTGGCCAATGCTTTGGACAAAGGCGAACAATTAATCATTTGTGACATTTGTTGCGATGAAGAAACCTTAAAAAAGTTCTTACCTCTCATGGAAGAAAAAAATATTTCGCTTGGTATTTACGAACATCATGAGAGTACAAAGTGGCTACAAAGTATTAAATTATCGGAAAAAATAAAGGGCGAAATAATATTTGATTTCGATCGTAGCGCTTCAAAAATTTTATATGATACTTATATAGAAAAAAATCCCGACATCAATGTCTTTGAAGACTTTATCAATGTTACTAACGATCGCGATCTTTGGTTGCAAAAGGATGAGCGAGGTTTCTTGCTTGCAAAATTACACCAAATATTAGGCGACCAAAACTACATGAACCGTTTTTTAAGGAATCATAAAGTTATTTTTGAAGAGAAGGAGCAACTCATACTCGATCATGAAATTATGAAAGAGAAAAAAAAACAAGACCTCTTGCTTAAGAACATTAAGATTAAGAATGATGAAGAAGGGTTTAAGTATGGAGTGGTTTATGGTGAAGCCGATGGTTCTGACATTCTTAACCGAGCGATTAAGCAATACGATTTGGAATATGCAATTCTCGCCAATCTCAATGCTCGTAAGGCAAGTATTCGAAGCCGGGGAAATAAAGACTGTGTAGTTTATTCCAGCAAGTATGGGGGAGGTGGTCATCGATGTGCTAGTGGCTTTAGGATAGATTTTAAATTTCCAGAGTTTTAAAAGTTTGAAATGTATTGTAAAAAAGTAAAAGAATTTGTGAATGCCTGCGGGGATAATCAAGATAAGCCGATTCTCATGAGTCGTGAAAAAATCGATTTTCTTTTTCAAATGGTGAAAGATGAGTTTATGGAACTTCGTGAAGCAAAAGATGAGGTGGATCAAGCGGATGCTTTAGTGGACATGGTTTATTACATCATACATACTGCTGTCAAGAACGGCTATAATCTTGATTCTATTTTTGAAATTGTTCATCAAGCCAACATGAACAAAATCATTGATGGCAAGGTCATTCGACGAGAAGACGGAAAAATTTTAAAACCAGAAGGTTGGGTTTCACCGGAACCTCTTATTGCTGAGGAAATCAATCGGCAAAAAAACCGCGAAAATTATTAAATTGCTTTCTATTATCCTTTCACTCATTAAAGTTAGGATCACCATTACTGTGGCACTGATTACAGTGATTGGGTGGTATATCGGCAATCAGAATTTTGGTGACATGAGATTATTCGGCTGGGTAATCTTTTCTACCATTCTCGTTTGTGCGGGAGTTTGCACACTCAACCATGTGATTGAATGGCAAAGTGATTCCAAAATGAAACGCACCCAAAACCGTCCTGTTCCGTCTGGTCAGATTGCTCTCACGCATGCAATCATCTTAGCAGTGATTCTTGTGATGGCAGGACTGTTTTTTATGTGGAGGTTTGTGAGTGTTGGGATGATGATAGGTGCCATAATAACCTCCATGCTTTACCTGCTTGCCTACACGCCTCTAAAAAGAGTCACTTGGTTGAACACTTCAGTTGGAGCTATACCAGGAGCTCTGCCGATCATGGGGGGGTGGTATGTTGTGAAAGATGGGCTTGGTTTGGAAGGGTGGGTATTGTTTGCCATATTGTTTTTTTGGCAACATCCTCACTTCTATGCTATTGCTTGGGTTTGTAAAAAAGATTATCAATTAGGAGGATATAAGATGTTAGTGGCTAATGATAACAATGGTAAGACTACTTTCTTTCACTCTTTTATTCATTCAATTTTTTTAATCATAGCTAGTTTCATGATTATCTTCACTGACTTTTCCGCAGGTTGGGTGTATTTATTGGGAATGGTTTTGATCAATGCTTGGTTCACTTTTAGGATTTGGCAAGCTTACCAAAATGCCACCATTAAAAATGCCCAGCGAGTTGTTAGTGGTTCCATTATTTATTTAATAACACTATTTACCTTAGTTTTTATTGATAACCAATTTAGGGTTGAAGTAATTTAATCTTATTGGTTTCTTAACCATAGTATTTCCATTTGTAGCCGAATCTGAATAGTTGGTCAATTATTGAAAGACCAGTAGCAGTTTTTTAACAAATTCACACATCGATTAAATAAAATTAGATATTTTTGTTATTTAGTATTCGCCGTTTTTTTTAACTTTTTTTATTTCACAGTTTTTCATATCGGTATTATAT